TTTCAGTGCAGCCTCAAAGGGCTCGACACGATCCCAGCCGAGGAGTAAGGGTCTTATCTAGCAAAACGATCAGCCATTTTCTCAAAAAATAAAAATAAAAATGTATATACTTTTTAACCACATATGCATGTCTTGCACTAGCTCGACTTCACGCATTATGTAATCACGTTGGAAAGGTCACGCGCGGTTAGCTCTTCGTCTGTGTACTCCGGTTCAGAAAGATCGGGTTGGGCGAAAAACTCTCGTTTTCTCCTCCAACTTCAAAATTGTCCGACATCATTGTTTTACCTTTTTTTGTAAAGGGCGTTTGACTTTCTTTGCCCGTTCACTTTGTAAACACTGGGTCGGTGCTTCAGCCTCAGTCACACGTGACCTTTCCAACGTGATTACGTAATGCGTGAAGTCCAGCTAGTGCAAGACAAGCATTTGTGGTTAAAAACTATACATTTTTATTTTAAGAAACTGACTGATCGTTTCTCTTCATAAGACCCTTATTCCTCGTCTGAGATCGTGTAGAGCCCTTTGAAGCTGCACTGAAACTGCAATTTGGACCTTCAACCCGTTTGTCCCCATTGAAGTCCATTATATGGAGAAAAATCCTGGGATGTTTTCCTCAAAAACCTTAATTTCTTTGTGACTGAAGAAAGAAAGACATGAACATCTTGGATGACGTGGGTGTAATTAAATTTTCAGGAAATTTTTATTCTGAAAATGAACTAATCCTTTAACTGAAAACAAGCCAGTGACCAGTGGTTCTCAATTCCAGTCCTCACGTATACCACCGCTCTGCATATTTTGCATGTCTCTCTTATTTAAAGGGGTCATGAACTGCCTTTTTTATTATTTTGTACTGTTCTCTGAGGTCTACTTATAATGTTATCAACATTTTTACATCAAAAACATCATAATTTAGAAGTAATGGGCTATTTTCTGTCCTGTTTTGACCCCCTCATCTGAACGCTCAGTTTGAATAGGTGTGGCGGATTGTAGACTCGGAAGTAAATGCCCACTGCTGTGATTGGCTAACAGTTTAGCACTTTTTCCATAGATGGAAGCTGCTGTGATTTAGGTTAAAGATGCATCAATACTCAGTACATTTCAAACAATCTGTAATAACAATATTGATCACGTAATAAAAAGTTACTCACACTTGTGTGGTGCGACATTACTGTCAGATTCAATATATTCAGCACAGCATCGTCTTTTAGTTTCAATCTTTCTGAAAATCCTGTGTTGAATTGTTCTTTCTTTGTAAATGAATCCGCAGCAATATGAAGTGAACAAAGGGCCGAGTTCTTACTGACGCAGTCTGGAACTTCATTAAAAATAATGAAGCCCTTTCTTAATGTTGGGATCAGAAGGAAGGCGATGCAAAGACTGTTTTTCCACAGCTTGGCTCTGAACAGTGTCTTGTTGTCTTCGGAGCATCTTTATTGTTTGGTTTCTGTATAGCCCTGCGTTTGCCTCTCTCGTTATTTACACTACATGCGTGAATCGGTGGGCGGAGCTAAATAGACAGTGATGTAGAATTGGTGGGCGGAGCTAAACAGGCAGTGATGTAGAATCGGTGGGCGGAGCTAAATAGGCAGTGATGTAGAAGCAGGCGTTGATGATCTTCTGCGGAGGCGGGGTTTAGCCACACTATTACGTCATAAAGTGGCACATTCAACAACTTGTCGTTTTGGCAGATTGGCATCAATACAAGCAGTTTTTAGACTAACAAGAAAGTTTTGAGTTCTGAAACTTACAGGATGTTTTTTATAGTACGATGAGCTCGTATATGTCACAAGATCGAGGGAATTCATGACCCCTTTAACACAGCTGATTCAGATAACCAGCTTGTTAGAAGAGAGCACCATGCATAAACTGTGTTCCGATTGACAGGGTCCCTACACAGTGTTCTCAGTGCTCCCTACTCCTTGAGCGCAGGAAATCCATTGACGTTTACTTCACTTCAAACATTCATTCACGGATTTGCCCTACGCAACAGCCTGCAGCATCACAGATGAAACTTACTAGAGAAGTGTGACATGATATACCTCTGTAAATATATACAATTTAAATTCACATCTCGCACACTTTAATGCCCTTTGAATGGAACTACGCTCCCTTTGAACTGGAATCATGGTGGAATATCCGGTGATGTCCACTTCGCAGGGCACTCACGGTCGAATAAAACAAACGTCTGAAGAGATACATACAAAATGTGCAAAGTGGTGGTACGCGAGGACTGGAATTGAGAACCACTGGGCTAGACTAATCTATTCTTTGGATTTAAGAATCAATATCGTTTTGTAAAATTGAGAAATTAACAAAAATCGAGAAATCTAATTTTTTTTTTTTTTACCCAGCCCTATTAATCATTCTTTAACATTTGAACAGGTTTCACAGTTAAAACGACCAACATTCCCAATGACATGGTCCCCACTCTAATGATGCTCTTTATGAATAAAATGATCTGTTTACACTACCTGTCAAAAGTTTGGAATAATTATGTTTTTCAATGTTTTTGAAAAAAAAAGTCTAGGCTGCATTTATTTGATCAAAAAATGCAATTAAAACAGTAATATTGTGAAATATTATTACTATTTGAATATATTTTAAAATGTAATTTATAGCTGTGTCAATAAATTGCATAATTGCAAAATTGCATAATCAAAGCTGAATTTTCAGCATCATTACTCCAGTCTTCAGTGTCATGTGATCCTTCAGAAATCATTCTAATATGCTGATTTGCTGCTCAAGAAACATTTCTGATTGTTATCAATGTTAAAAAAAACGAGTTTGGGGTAAGTAAGATTTAAAAGAAAGAAAGAAATTATTTAATTAAACTAAAGCCATGCCTTTATTCAGCAACAATGCATTAAATTGATCAAAAGTGATAGTAAAGACATTTGTAATGTTACAAAAAGATTTCTATTTCAAATAAATGCTGAACTTTTGAACTTTCATTCATCAAAGAACGTATTACTGTTTTCACAAAAATATTAAGCAGCAAAAACATTTTCAACATTGATAACCAATGTTAATATTTGAGCACAAATAATAATTAATGATGACTGAGCACTAAATCAGAATACTAGAATGATTTCTGATGGATAGGTTGCCCTCACAAGAATAAATTACATTTTCAAAAATATTAAAATAGAAAAAAATCGTAATTGACCAAATAAACGCAGCCTTGGTGAGCAGAAAAAAAATTAAATCTTAATTATTCCAAACTTTTGACTGGTAGTGTACATGTGTGCACTAGGCAGACACTTCTATCCAAAGCCACTTATATTGCATTTAAGGGATAAATTTGATCAGTTCATAGATTCCCTGGGACTCGAACCCATGGCCTTGGTACCACTAGCCACATGTCAAAGCATTTTTTATTTATTTTTTGCAGTTTTTAATATCTTTAGAATTAGCATTCTCTAATTTGTCCAATACATTCCAGTTTAAAATGATAGTTTACAATGGCATTAAACTGTGTGAGTAAGCCTGTAGTCTTTCTGGAGCAAGTCGTGGCCTAATGGTTAGAGAGTTGGACTCGTAACCCACCTTCAATACCATGACTGAGGTGCCCTTGAGCAAGGCACCGAACCCCCAACTGCTCCCCGGGCGCCGCAGCATAAATGGCTGCCCACTGCTCCGGGTGTGTGTTCACGGTGTGTGTGTTCACTGCTGTGTGTGTGCACTTTGGATGGGTTAAATGCAGAGCACAAATTCCAAGTATGGGTCACCATACTTGGCCACATGTCACGTCACTATTCACTATTTTTTTTAATGAAATTATCTTGTTTTCTCTATCGTCTTGTACTTCATGAAAAGGAATGAAGGAAAACCTGCTGTACTGCAGTATGCATTTTGATGATGTCTGCTTAAAGAATTGCTTGCGAACCAAAATAGCACACTAACTCGACATTTACAGCTTCATTTAGTGGCAGAGCGGTTTATGCAGCAGTAGGGTCACTCATAATGCTACTTCATTTGCATGGGGCACTAATGAAAACCGAAAAGGGGGATGATTGTCTTTATACACTAATCTGTGTGTTAACTTCAGCCTTATCTTATGTCCATTAAATTTGAATAAATGAACAGTTTAAGGACGTGTCATTTAAGTACAGAATAACAGCATAGATGTGTTGTGAATGGTAGTTCACAGTGTCCTTTTGTGAGTCATTTGAGTGAACCGTTCAAGTAAGCTTCAATGTGGTGATTTGCCAAATGCCTATTTATGGACATGGCATCTTCATTGTTCGTTTTCACCAGCACATGTACCACATGTCCTAGTGTAGGCTGGAAGCGGTGTAGTAAATCTATTCATAGAAGACTGGCAGCGTTTCAAAATGAAAGATCCGTATGGACCAGCGTGCCACTTGCTTTTGTTTAGAAACACATTGCGACCTGAATTACTGTGTGTTGTTTACAGCGACATAGTGAAAAGTGAGCCTACACATTGCTTACAAAAATTTGGCCGAATGAAAGCATCGCAGCACATTGTCGCAGAGATGCTTTGATTTTACAGCCTGACAGTGGCCGGATGAGCTGGTGCCTACAGATCTCTTTCTTCTACTACCTTTCAGATGCAATTTCCTGCATCTTTTGGAGAAGCTCCATGATTTACTGCATTTTTTGCTGTATCATTCGCTCTCTGCATCATCGTCAACCAAAATGCGCGCACAACCACATAGCATGCCGATGCATCATGCTCAAATTTAATACAGAGAATGGCTGATGATAACACGAGCACTCGTCAACAAAGCAGGTTTGATGTTGCTATTATTCCAAAACCCATTTCATTTGACCTAAAATATTTACTTGAAATACCCAGAGATTAAGCTATTATTTCAATAATTTAACAACACATGCTCACGGTTCTCTGACGTTGGCTAACCCTCTGGTGCTGTTCGGGCATTTTTGACTGAAACATTTTACATTTTGTTTTGTTTTTTAGAATTTTTTACTTTATCGGAATGGTACAAAACTTGCCGGTTTTGGCACTTGCTGTGTGAACACACACACACACACACACACAAATCATGGACATGATTTGAAAAGGTTAAATGGTCCTGAAAAAAAGTAGTCACACTTGTACTGTTCACGGTCAAGAATGACTGCATTGGAAATGAATGGGAAGTGAATTCCATCTAGTTGAAACGTTTGGCACCCAAACAAAACCGTAATGAAAGCTAATTTTTTTGAGATATCAATTTATATAAAATTTTAAAATAGTCCTTTTGTGTTTCACAATAATATACTTCTATAACTTTTTTTAGTTTCACTCTTTAACTTTTTTCACTTTAGTAATAATCTGTCAAGTGTCTTCTTTAAAAATAGACCAAACTTAAGCCTCCAACTTAAGTGCTCTAAAGCATTCAAGATTTATGACCGTTTAAGTTGGAAATTAAATTTTCAGGTCTATGCTCAAAAAGTGGTGAACAGGTAAAAAAAAAAAAGGATAATAACTATTCCATAAATATTAAAATACAAAATACTAATAAAAACAACTTTCAACTATAGTACATTAATTTCTTTGAAAAAAATACATTCAGTCATGTTTGACCTCCATGTGAACAACACCAGAGGGTTAATGAACACATGACATGCAGGTAAACTTATGAAAGATTTAATCTTAAGTAAGATTTTTATTTTGATTGAAATTAAATTTTAGTCAAATTAAATTTTAAAATTAAAAATATTTTTATGATTTAATTTAATTATTAGGTTTTCATCAACTCTCTGTTCCCTCACAAACCTCTGTCTGGGGAAACCCTCAGTTAGCGGTTCAGTGCAGACAAAGCTGCATTTTAAAATGGACATCGTTCTAAAAAGCAAAGCATTTGAAAAAGTTTTGTAGTAAATGCCACAATTGATTCATTTTAATTAACAATTGGGGTCTTCTTAAAAGAACTATAAAAGAACCATAATTAGGTTGAGTATCAATTGAATTTGAGTGATTCTGATTCTTAATGATTCCCAGTTTCGATTCCAATAAGATATAACAAAAATAAGTCAAACATTCAATACCAAACATATTTATTCCGTCTTGCAAACCTTTCTGTTGCAGCTGAATACCATGAACAAAAATCAGCACGCAGAATCGAAATGCACTTGTCTTATCAAATCCACGGTTCTTGGAAATTCTGGAACTGGTTCTAAAATGAAACCGGTTCTCAATACCCAACCCTAACTATAATTATATTCTCTGATTCCTACATCCATCATACATCGACACAAATGTTTAAATCCACGTTTAGAATTCCGTTTGTTAAATATGACCTCGCTCATAAACAAACAGACACACAATCTGTTTCCTGCATCAGACTCGGAACAGTTTACAGAATTATGGATCAATTATTCCACAACCTCCTTCCTTCATCTCAAGCACTACAGCCATTTAAACACCCTAAGACTGAAGAAGTCAGTCGCTGACTCATTGTGTAACACATTTACTGGTATTGCAGACATAGTTCAGGTTGCGTACAGTAGTTGTCATATGTTACCATTTGCAAACTGCCTTTAACCTCTTCCACACATAACCTCCCATCCAGACAGCGGTGGGCGGGGGGGGGAGTAAAGAGCAATCTTCAGTCTTCATAGAAACAAGGCAGTCGTCTTTGTTTGGATGCAGTCGACTATCTCTGCTGCTGCCGTGGCAACAGCAACGATGTCCATGCTTCTTGTGTGCGTGTATGTGTGAGATTGCGTGTGTGTGTGTGTGTGTGTGTTTGGGGATTGAGGTGTAGATGTGTGTATGTGATGCTTGTGGGTGGATGTGTCGTGCTGTTTTACTTTGTCACACATGGATTTACATTTACATTTAATCATTTAGCAGACGCTTTTATCCAAAGCGACTTACAAATGAGGAATACAAAAAGCAACCAGACCAACAAGAGAGAAACAGTATACAAGTGCTGTGACAAGTCTCAGTTAGTCTAGCACAGTACACATAGCAAGTTTTTTTTTTAAATAAATTAGAAAATACGAATAGAATAGGTAAGTGCTATTATTGATTGGTCAGGTGCTGACGAAAAAAAAGTGCTCCGATCAGGATTTTTGGAGCCGATCACCAATCGTCGATCACAGGAAGCAGTATCTGCCGATACCGATCTTTTTGAAGCCTTCTTTTTATCACGTAGAATTATTTATAGTGAAGCTCCAATCAGGATTTTTACAGACATGGCCTGAATTAAATTTTTTGAAAATGGGGGGAATTCCCCTCTTAAGTGACTCTTGTGGGGGGATTTTTTTCAAAAATATGTAATTATCTCACCGAAACGATAGATCACGCAGTGCATTTTTGTTTCTACAATGGGGCAATTGTTGAATCTTTTTGAAGCCTTCTTTTTATCACGTAGAATTATTTATAGTGAAGCTCCAATCAGGATTTTTACAGACATGGTCTGAATTAAATTTTTTGAAAATGGGGGGAATTCCCCTCTTAAGTGACTCTTGTGGGGGGATTTTTTTCAAAAATATGTAATTATCTCACCGAAATGATAGATCACGCAGTGCATTTTTGTTTCTACAATGGGGCAATTGTTGCATAATAGCTTACACACAGCACAAGCCTGATTTTGTGAGCTCGAGGAGAGCGTGCGAGTGCTGAATGAATGGTTTAAACACTGGCCAGACTTAAAAAGAAATGCAAATTATAAACTTTAGTGACGATGTGACACTGCCTCGATCGTGCAAGTGACAATACCTGTGTCAACTGTGTAGCTCGCTTCTAGTGCAGATGCGATGTGGTGAAAGAGAGATTCACTCCCGCTGTTTGTGAAATTACGTCTCACAGAAAGTTTTCAAATTACAAGTTATTTAATAAAGAAATATGAATTGTACCTCACCTTCAGCATTATAATTATTTTACCCACACGGACAGAAACTGAGACGGTGCCGCTGCATGTCATAAACCTCTCACGGCAGGCATGTTGTTATCTTGAGATCAGCCCTTATAGAGACCGCTGATCAGACTTCCCAAAGCCATTATCGGCCGATAGAAATCGGTAGCCGATCAATAGGAGCACCCCTGAAAAAGATGTGTCTTTTGACGTTTTTTGAAAATGGCTGCTCGAATTGAGATGGGCAAGTAATTCCACCAGCTGGCGTGAGAGTGATTTTGTGCCTCTTTGGGATGGCACCACGAGGCGTCATTCACTTGCAGAATGCAAGCTTCTGGAGGGCGCATAAGTCTGAACTAGTGAGTTTAGGTATATTGGAGAAGAGCCAGTAGTTGTCTTGTAGGCAAATATCAGTACCTTGAATTTGATGCGAGCGGCTATTGGCAGCCAGTGCAAACTGATGAAGACCACTCTCGCTTATTGTTAGTTTATTTTTTATTCTGTGACAGAAATGAGCTTCCATAGAATGTTTTTATAAAATAAATTGTCACCATTTATGATTGGAACACCTGAGACAGATCAAAATACTAGATATAAAGGGGCCTAAATGACTCCAGAAGAGGAGTTTGATTTGTAATATTGCTAGCACGTTCTTTGTTTTTTGCAGCGTTGTTCACAGATATCATATCTGCAACATATCTACACTGGAAGTGACCAACATGAGGACCAATCAGCTGTAAGCTTGATGCTTGATGCTTGACTTCAGGCATAGTAAAATGGATTAATTTCTTTATTTGTTCAGTTACCTACTTTTTCAATGTATTGGTATAAAAACTGACTTCGAATTGTCTATTTTAAAATAGTAAAACACATGTGATTTAAAACCAAAAGGTTGTTTAATTAAGTAGGCAAGAGAAAAGATACGCCACAACTTCATTTTAAAGTAATGATTAAGTAACATCAATCAGTTCATGATATTTGTAAATAAAATAACTTTATTTCAGACAAATAGGGAATATAGTGGGTGCAGTAACTGTTCTGCATCTCAGAAATATGAGGCACACTGTAATGCAAAACACTTCCAGTGTAGAGAGTGTTGATTATAATGGTATCAATCAAATTTTGTTTCATCACTTATGTCTGGTAGCCTAATGATTTATCATGATCATTTGGGTCTAGAAAAACAAAACATTGTATATTGTTGAAATACAAATAAATAAATAAATGACACCGTTTCAAACATGAGTCAGTATCTTACACGAGTCAGTAACACACAATGCTGTATGATTCATGATAAGTGTATTGGTTTTACTGGAAGGCAAATCTCAAACGACTTTTTTTTTAATGTAAATTTCATAGTACTTTGTTGGCGTGCGGCCTAGGATATATAAATCGTACACAACCTATTCTAGCATAAGCATGGTAAAGCACTTGATTATTTGGCCTAATTAGATACAGATGCATTGAGCAGTATTGCACCACAGTGCAATGATACAGCTCTCATAAAGTGCTAATTCTGTCTGTGAGCCCTTTGTAGTCTCGGTAATCTCAGGGCACTTGCAGTTTTGGTTGCATCATAAGACTCCAATAAAGCCGCCAGCTATTGCAGCAGCGAATGTTTGTCGACTTTTAGCCCTAGCTATAGATCACGACAAACACAAAAGGGTGAAGAAAGACAGAAGGACATGAGATGAGGATGAGGCAGGAAGTAAGAAAAACAAAAAAGTTTATGGTGATCAAAATCTAGTTAACATGACTTTATAGTGTTTTTCCTAACACTCTCTTCCACTCCATTGCTTAATAACTGAGAAAGCTCCTGAGCCATGCAGTTTCTCTCAGCAATGAATATTATTGAAATTATGGATGATATTATTGTGGACGTGAAGGAGAGAACTAGTGCCATTTCCTGGTAATCTGTTTTTAATAAAAAGAATAATAATAGAAATGTCAACTGTAGAGATTTTGCTGTATTGTTTATGACGTGTTAGCATTATTTGTGTAGCTATGAGTGATTTACGTGACTTATGCATAAGATTGGTGAAGAAACACAAAGAAATGGCAAAATGCAAAGGGAAACACTTCCCAAACAAGTTGCCATATTAACATTCAGTTTTTGCAATGAAGCTGAACTCCATTTGTTCTAAATAATCTGATATTTTTGTTTTGCATCTATCAAGTTCCATATAAAAAGAGAAATTGATCAAAATAGAATCAATTAGTA